GTCATTCTTCAGTTTGGTTCGGTGCTTGGACCATGAAACCTGGAGATTCCTCGAGGGACGATCTGCAACCAAATATGTACTATTCGCGGTTCGCAGCTGCCGTTGGCACAGCTGGGCTATGTGCCGCAGGATCGCCTTCATGCCCAGAACCCCCCCCCCCCAAGTAGAGGGGAACAAAATAAGGTGATTTCCCCCCCCTCCCCCAACAACTGCTTTCCGGGTACAATCGTTGAACGCGACGTGTGTTTTTTGCATGGAGATCATTCTGGCCTCGAAACCCCTCTATTTCCTTTTGGAAGTAGCACTGGTAAATGACAAATAGAACCAACTGGGACCAGTGGAATCCGTTTATGTCAGGCGGCCTTCCCGTTGGGTTCCTTCTACAACCTCAGAAAGAGCGCCAAGTGAAAAAACTCTCTGACCTAAAGACACACCAACTCATGCGAACCTCCTGTCTTATGAGCCCGCTGTTGCTGAGTGTCCAAACACGAACCCCTTGAAGTGGTGTCCTTTTTGTTTCCTCTAAACATGGGCATTGGTATGGGCCCCGATTTTGTCTCAAATGCATGCCCCATTTCCCAGACACAAAAAAGGATTTTGGTTTCCTTTTAAACTAACTCCCAAATGTGTGCCGGACGTCCACCCAAAAACCCTGAACACAAGCCAGATGTATGGCTACCTCTGGTTCAGATTCCCGCACAACAGGGCCACAGCCACAGGAAGACTAGCCATTAAACTATGGCTCTCACCCATATTGGATATGTTGCGAACATGAGTCATCCACACCAGGTAGTGGGCACTGCTCATGTGAGTATGATGTTTAACAAGGGAACCTTTACGTCAGAATTCGGGTGGGGGGTCATGCCCACCGGCCACTTTTGAGGTGGTTCCAACTCCTAAAAATGGCTGTGGGTCAAAAATAGGTTCCCAAAATGGAACCCTGGTAAGAGGACGGACACCTGGTTGTTTGATTTTGACCCACACCCAAATCATTCCCACGACTCCGAGGGTGCCACGCCGGGCGCGGGCGCGCCGGGCGCCGCGCCCACAGCCCCCGGCGCTGCGCCCACAGCCCCGGCGCCCGGCGCCGCGCCGGGCGCCCCCGGCGTCGCGCCCACGGCGCCCGGTACAGCGCCGGCCCGGGACCCCGGGAAGTTGAAGCGAAGGCCGCCGCAAAAGAACGACTTTGGGCCTGTTTTGGAGTTGGTGCCCGCTGGTTTGGTGGTAAGGAAGAAGAGAGAACCACGGTCTCCGAACAAAAAGCCACCCACCTTTATTTTTTGTTTTTGGGGGCCATGTATATGTATGTCTATATATATGTATATATTTGTCTAGTATATGAGTCACAGAATCTGGGTAGATGAGGGTTCAGGGTCCCAACCAATGGGTGCAGGGAGCTGCTCAAAGCGCGGGAAAGTGATGCCCAGGGACAGCACCCTTGCCAACGTGTTATTGCTTTTTGGTAGACCCTGCAGCACAGGGTTGCGGGATCACTCGCGGTTTATCCCCCAACCCTGTGATACAAGGGAATCTCCCCCCTTATATGAGGGAGGATTAGTCTTTGGTTGTATCACAGAAATGGGCATTTCCCACAGCCCTGCTGCAGCAGTACCGGCCGGCTTTGATTTCCGCTGCCCCCAAACCCCCAACAAAAGACACCCTGAGTGGTAGAGTAATTACATCATAACCCCCCGCATTTTCCCTCGTGCCAGGATGGCGGGTTCATGCCATCCGCAACAAATGCTTGTCGACTTTAAGTGGACCGACGTAAAGACGGAGCTTTGCACGGCTGTGAAGTGGCCGCCCCATGAGCCGAGGCCGCAGATCCTTTGGCTGCCCGGGCCCCAAGTCCGAGATATCGAGCTGAGAGGAAAGTGATTCGCTGAGGCCATGATGCAGAATCCCGAGGCCATGCAGGCCACGGTCTAACGGTCGGTGGTCTCGGGCAAGTTACCCCCCAAAAAAAACAAAACAAGGTGGGCCTCTTGGCTTTCAAAAGTGAAACCAACCAGAGGGGGGGAATGTTGACTCCGGATCTATCTAGAACCTGTCCTATTAGCAGGGCCCCCCTGCAGAAGTGATGAAGCCCCCGCTAAAAGAAAACACCCCCTCCTCTTGATAATCTAGGGCGGGGTTGATTTATCCCGGGGAAGGAAACCCTGAATGTGATCGAGCGCTCACATTGAGCGGCGTCGTACATGGGTCTCAAAGCTCGGAACCGTGCGTTGGTCTTGCCGGTTTCAACTGTCAGGGGGTCACCGCTCTCAGAGTCGGGCAAGCACCCATTTTTGGTTTCCCTTCCCAAGCCCAGGTGACAACCAGAAAGAGAAGACAGATATACTTTGTTAGCTTGAAAGCTTTATGCAGGCTCTAGAATATCTTCACCATTCAATATTTTATTAGCATGTACAAGTTGGTGAAGGAATACGCCATATCTTTCTATCTTCAACCGTTTTCACCAAAATAGTTCTTTAATCTTATCGTCCTTTTTTATGGCTTGGCATTTCATGTTCTTATTCTTTCTGTTGTAATGATTTGGCTTTCCATCTTTCTTTTACACTTTTTTAATTTAAAAATATCAGTATTTCGAATGTAGCTATATTATAGAAGCAAGTCTTATTAATATGTTTCTTTTAGTTGTTCATGTTGTATTATTTATCACTTTCTTCTTCATACTCGTTTATTCTTCTTTCCAATATTATTTTTCCAATTTTTGTATAATTCATTTTAAGCTTTAGAACGTGAGACATTCTTATATTTAATCCAGAACTGTATTATTAGCATTTTATAGAAGCCTTGTGGTTGTTTATTTTTCCAGTCTTTTGTTATTTACTTTGGTGTCTTGACGATTTCTCGAGTCTCAGAATTTGAAGTCCATTTGTTTTTACTAAATAACTTTATTCGATCTTGTTGCGCTTCCCTCGGAAACACATCGGGAATGGGGAGAATGAGGGTCCTCAGATTAGTAGATATGGAGTTGGTAGAACTCAACTGAAGATTTGGGGGTGGTGTTGTATTCATTTTTGGGGAGGTGCTAGACCTGAAGGGGTGTCTTGCTGCCCTTTTCTGTTTGTGGAGTTGTGTTACATGAGTTCTTCCGGGCTTGGCCATGAAAAAAAGAACCACGTAAACCCTAAACCCTAAACCCACACAACACACACAACACACACACACAACACACACACACACAAAACACAACACACACACACACACATTCAGCTGTATTCGCCTGTGTCCATGTCACAAATGGTGCCTGGAAGAATTTGGATGGCTGCCAAAGACCGTTCCTGCCAGGCCATGATGAACATGATGGGCGGCATGGGCGGCGCGGGCGGCATGGGCGCCCTGGGCGGCATGGGCGGCATGGGCGGCGCTGGCGCTCCGCCCGGCGGGGAGAACTTCGTGCCCACCGCAGGGCGCTGCGCCTGCGGGAACTTTGCACCTCGGACGGGGTGCAGACGGGCGTCTCTTGTTTGGTTTTCTCCTCCTTTTTTTCAAACGGAAGTTGTGAAAATGTGTTGTTTTCTGCTCGGCGGTGTTTCTTTAAAACCAAAAGGGGGTGCCCTCAAAAAGAAACACACTCAGTTGCCAGTCAAATCCATCCATTTTCCCTGCACGGCCACCTGGGTTTCAAGTGGGGAATTCCGGACCCGACCGGGCAAGGGATCGGGCCTCAACCCCTTCATGGGCAAACGATGGCCCGAAGGAATCAAGCCGGCACATGTAACGGGTGCAAGCTGTTGTCCCTCAAGCAATCAACAGTCAAACAGCAGGATTGTGCTATCTTATTAGCTAGGTCCCCCAGTAGTGCCCTTTTAACAACTTTTTTGGGGGAGGGTTCCCCTTCTAAAATAGGCCACAGAAAAAAGGGTACCCTTATTCTAACCTTTCCACTGGAGGACCTAGTTATTCACTCTTGACCAAGGAGAGCGGCCGGGGCGACGGCTTGTGCAATGCTTGCCGACGGCAGCAGGGCTCCTAAGTGATCCAGCGACAGCTCTCTCTTTGCTTTCCTGGGGGGGCAAACGTCCCCTTTGGAACCCAAGCCCTGCTTTTTTTTCGCGGGTCAGAAATGGTTTGCCCTTTTACAGCGTTTTGAACCCTCTGGGCTAACCCTTACCCTAGAGAAAAGCGGGGTTTGGGTTCCCCTGGCACAATCGAACAGACCGAGAAGGCGTCGCAATCGCGAGAAAAAGACGAGTCAGCGGTCTCATGGCGCCTGCAGCCTCGGTGCGCCCCTCTTGTGATTGAGAAACCCTCCATGGATAGGTAGGGGAGTGTCCAGTTAAAGGGGGGATCCTTCACTTTTTGGGTGAACGCCTCCCATTAATAGTGCGAGAAATCCGACATCGACATCTATCAGGGCGATTGAACACAGCGCTCGAGAGGCGAGAGATGCTGTGCTGAGCGTGCAGTATCTGAGTATGGCATGAATGCCCAAGATGTCCCTCAAAGGCTCGCTGTTTTTGGGGGATCGCACCCCATGCAAAAAAAAAAAAGAACACGGCCTTTGTTTTCCTTTTGGCTTTCCTTTCAAACTGACCCAAACAGCGGGTCCAACTCAGATCCCATGAAGATACTCTGAGTCGAAGCTTTTTGGGGGACCGATACTCTGAGTCGAAGCCAGCGTTTTGGCACCTCCGTCAGGTGCAGGCTTTAGGTTTTACCCATCGCAGACCCGCCTTAGCTGGTGCACGGGCGTGGAGAAAAGCCGCGCGCAGAGCAAGTGCCTTGGGCGCGAAAGAGCTCCCTGGAGAATCAATTCACCCTCAAAATGGGTTTTGGCCCAACATGCTGGAGTCAAATTCCATCCTCAAGTCCCTTTTTGAGGGAGACCAAAAGGAACGCCCCCCCAACCCCCCCCCCCCCCCCCCGTGGGTCCCCTACAAAAAGATTAAAAAAAAACAAGAAAACAATATATAAGATAAGATACCATTCGTAGTTCAGTGGGCCCCCCTATTTTTATTTTATTTACGTGGCTGCGATCCGAGCGATCCGAGGGCCGCCCGGCTGAAGAGCCTGAACACGCGTTACGGCACCCAGCTGCTGGTGAGCCGTGGCCCAAGGGAGACAAAGGACGTCCACACCAAAGGGAAAAGGCGCCAAATGCATTTCTGTTGGAGTGCACTTTGGCCCAAATGATGTGATTCCCTACCTACTGTGGATGGCTGAAATCGAAATCTAGAAATCGCACCACTTTGAAACCATCGAATCATTCAAGGGTTTCTTAGGTAGTGCCACCTGGATTTCGTCCACAGTATCAGCTCCCCTCAAGATTGGTGGCTTTAAAGCCACAAAGGAGGCGCCATCAAAAGCAGACACTTGCAAAGATCATCCAAAGATCAGCCAAAAATGTGGTGGTTTTGTGGCTTGGGGCTTGGGGATGGTTTCCCATCTACCCTCAAAAAGAACCAGGGCTTCAAATCCACATCCACAGCATCCCGCCAGCAAGTCATCTCACTGGGTGAATTATAATATTTCGGCAGGGGGGCTATTCCCCACATAAACCACCATTTGGGGTGCATTCGGTCGTGTGAGGTCGCAAAAAAGTAAGTACCAACCAGCAACGGTTTCAACCATGGTTTGAAAGTGGTGCAAAATAGATTTCGTCCATCCACAGTAGGTAGGGAATCACCGAGTCAGGGTGGCAATGAACCGTTTGGGGATTCCCGAATGAAGGACACCAAAGGGGATGGTTTTTCTTTGTCATTTCATTTCTCATTTCGAACCAAGGTGAAGGGGTGGGAGGATCAGAGACGCCAGAAGCAGAAACGATCGGCAAAGGTTTCACCCAACCATAGATTGGATTGTCGTAGCACGGGTGAACCACTCAACATAGGAGGACAGTCTTTGTTCTTTGGATTCTCTACCATGGGTTTGGATCGACCCCGCTTCATAGCAGGTTTTGATTCTGACTCACCAAACATAGCGCCCCCAAAAGAGATCCCGTTCAAAGTGTGCTGTATAGCGGACCAGGAGTTGTCGCTCTTTGCAGCGACCAGTTCGAGTTTCGAGAAGCCAGGGTCACCCACAGCCCTTGTTTTGGTAGGTTCTTCAGTTGGAAGCCCTGTGTTTCGGGGTCCCCAGGTTTCCAGCGTGCACGTGCACCCCACACGATGTTTTAGGTCCCGTTTGCCCCAGCGAATCGATTTTAAGGTTCAGAGACACTTCAGTCCAGCGTCGGCGAGCTCTTCGTTGCCCGAACTGTGGGGAGGTCAGCTTGATGCGTTGCTGTCGTGGAACTACTGATGTCGACTCAACATGTTGATGTCACTCTTTATGGACATGGAATGGTTGGCTCACGCTGAGTCCATTGTTTGTCGATTTTTGTCTTCCGCGATGGGGCAGTATTTGGGAGATTTGCAACAGCTTTTTCTTGTGAGCCTTGGGGCCATATACCCCAACACTAAGGGCGAGTTGCCTCCCTCGTGAACATCCAAAGCAATCGGGTTGGGTACCTAGTTTTCCAGAACCCCTCAAGGTTCCATGGGGACAGGAGGGTGGCTTCTCTTCGGCTTCCCTTCACTGTCAAAACGAGCCCAACAACACCACCCTCAAAGATTGACGCCAACTTTGTCCACACATGAGCCACGATCAAAACCCGGGTGGATGAAGGTTGGTGAGGGACAGTGCTAGCCAGAAATAGTTGCGGACGCCTTCTGAATTCTTGAAGCATGGTTCTGCAGGGCTCCTTAAAAGAAGTTCACTTTGCAACGATTTGACACATGTCGCTTTTTTTTTTCAACACCAAAATAGGTTGGACACCACCATTGACATGTTGCAATGGTGTTTTTCCTGCATCCGGATCCCTGTTCTGGGACGACCATGTTTGTGCCGGGTTTTGACTCGGATGGCCAGGCTGATCCTGAAAGGCCGCACAAGCCCAACGCACACGCTGGAGGTCATTGGCCGCAAAGGACCCCAAGCCTCGAAGGGGCGAACACCGTTTTTTTTTTTGGGGCGGGCCGTTTTTTTTTGTTTGGTTTGTTTTTTTTTGTCTTTCCTTTTTCATTCTTTCTTTCTTTGTTTCTTTCATTCACTCATGCTTTCGTTGTTTTCTAAATTGGTTGGCTCGTGACTGGGTCGGACCCTAAGACGTGTTACTCCTTGTCCCTTGTAAGTTTGGAGGGCTCTGCGTATGCGATTCAAAGCCGTGGTCAAGGAAGTAGGTCCGCTATTTTTGGGTTGCCCGGTTTGGTTGAAATTTCGATTGTCCATGTCATGAAGCTCACCTTGACAGACTGATCCGTTTGAACGAAGCTCTACCTTTCTGGAATCAGGAAGGGGGGGTAGGTACAAGGGGGGTGGGTAGTTGAGAGCCCTAGGGTTGCTTAGGGGAACCTGGACCACCCCCCTGGACCACCCCCCCCTTACGGAGTCCCCAGTCCTTGTACGAACCCGCAGCTGCCAGGACAAGTTCCGCAGGACTTGGAACAAGCCGCGGAGCGGGAGACTTTGATCGGACCAGATCGGAACCACATGAGCAGTGCCCAAAACCTCCAAAAGGGGCATTTTTAGCTGCCTGACATCATGCCGACCCTGTATAACTGCACGATGTAGCCTTTACGACAGTTTTGTTCTCAGTGGGTTTTGGGCGCTGCTCATAGCTGCCGATCGGGTGGGTTTTGGGCGCTGCTCACATGCCAATCAGGTCAAAAGACCCCTTTACTTGGGCTTGGTGGCGATGGTGACCCTTAAAGGGATGTTTGAGACAACCATGGTACGAATTCCTGTTCATCAAGCTCTCCTGGAACCTTTGGACGGTGTCAAGGTTTTCCGATTCGAGCGATTGGAGCTTTGACCATACTGGCAAGCAACCACGGCCGTCCGTTAATGCGGGCCTGGCTATGAAACGGAACACCTGTCTTCGAAGTGGTTGTCCAACACACATAGGGTGAATTCCGTTTCTTTGTTGGGGGCGAGAAGAAACCCGTGTTTTTTGTTGTTGTTGGGGGGGGGGGGTGAAAAGGAGACCAGGGGCTTCCAGGTTTGGGATTCCGGTCCGCTCGCTTCAGGTTTCACGAAGAAGCCGCAGGGCTCTTCGCGCAGGGCCGCTTCGAAGAAGCCAAGGCGGGCCCAGCTAAGGCTCGGAGCCCCTTTCTTGATGCCCGCTCGGCAAGGGAAAGTTTGGGCTCCCTATACTTCCCCTGTCCCAGGTTAAACATCAGCTTGTCGGCCAGGCAACAGTGAGTTTTGCTTGGAAGGGGTGATGATGAAAGGGGAAATGTAGGGCAGCTGAGAAAAGCCGACCTTTTCCGGCCATTGAACAACAATTTTGAGGTTTATCTGGTTTGGGCATGACAATCTGTGCGTGCAAACAGACCCAAGTGTTCACGTACACGTGCAAGCTCTAGTCGGCATTGCTGGCATGGGAAGCGAAGAGCTGCTCTGATATCAGCAGCATTGGCCGCACTCCACGCGTGACACAAGTTGGTGATTCTTAGAGCATGTCGTTCGAGCACTGGATTGTTTTTGCCAGGACTCTGGATGAATCCCTTTCACCATTGCTTGAGGGGCCTCATATATTTATAGAGCTTTGCCTAACTGCTGCTTCTCATTCTGGTGTGTGTTTTTGCCGAGGGTACCCCTTTTTAAACCAAAAGGCCAGCGATCGCTCGGGAGGCTCGGGCTCAGTTGATGTCGACTCTTTGCACGACCACCCAAGCACACCACACCACCCAAACACACCGACAAAGGGGAGAGCAAACATGAAGTTCCGCAGAGCGCAGGTCCTCTTTGAACAAGCTAGCCAAGTCTTCGTGCAGTACGACGAGGGCTCTTGTCCACAGGACGCGCACGCGGCTGACGTTCCTGGGGCAACAGTGGCTGTTGAACTCGTTTTGACCTGCCCCATGAACGGGCGCCAACAAACTTGGGTTGCCCGCAAACCTTCCCATGTCCGGGATTCAGGTGGCTCAATTCTTGAGTCTTTCTGCCATTGGGACTTCCACCCTAACCGTCGCCCCAGTTACTCGCGAGGACAAGCCCTCGGCTCATATGCTGGACTTGTGCAACATGTGCCCCGATGTTTGCACCTGACATGGGACCCGATGCCTTGATGGGCCTGGTGACCGAAGGGTGGAAACATGGCCAGTGGTCAGGTCGGCAGTCCCAAGCTTTGTGGACACACAAAAGGCGCTGGAAGCGCTGCTTCTGTTTCTCGGGGTGAACCAACAAGGACTTGGCAAAGGGCGAAGCATGGTGAGCCATAGAATTTGCATACCGTCACGCTTGAGGCGTGCCATACATCAGGCTCTTGTTTTCTAACTTCGCTTTGCCTCAAACGCAACCGGACTTGGAGATGGGGTTGGGCAACCCGGTTCTCTCCGGTTCAGTGCGATGCTTCGGTGAGGTACCACAAGAATCCACCAGACTTGGAGAAGTGGGACGGATCGGAGCATCTCAACAAGAAGGCCCGGGCCGCATGGAGGGCCTCTCCCGCGAGGCTACCCCCCGTTGGAGGCATTGGAAGCGCGGAAGCCGCAGACCAGAAAAGAAAAGCACTCTCAAGGGGCTCAAAAAGGGGCTGGTTTTGCATCTGGTTCTGAACTTGGATCTGGGTCAACGATTCACAGCCATATTTTGCAGTCGCTTCGAATCCCAGGCACTTTTGGACGGGACTCCTTCCCAAAACTCCACACCAAGTTCTCCCAAACCGGGCTCCAAACCGACCAACCTTGAAGTTTCGCCCCCACCAAACCTCTCACGCGCGTGAAGCAGCGAAGCCCCGGGTGCTGGAGTGCCTGGGCGGACTTGAAGGGGCTTCATAGCTTCCGGGTTCTGTCAAAGTTCAGGGCTCCTTAACAGAAATCTCCATTTTGCAACCAATTGAAACATGTGGCTTTTTCAACACCAAAATAAAGCACCATTTACAAGTTGCAATGTTCAGGCGTATAATGTAAGGATCCCTGCTCCAGTGGTCTATTTTTCCGGTTTGGGACTATCTAACATGTCAACCAGGGTTCTCTAGTTTCTTCATTTCCAGTTCAGACCGTTGGTTGGGTTGGGTTTGGTCTACCACCGTGTTGGGACAATTTTGAACATGAATTTCATCCAACCAGAATTCTTGTATTTCACATTTTTCCAGCAGTTCCGCCGTGTTTTTGGACCCGCTTGCAGGCCTGGTCCTGACCGGAGCGAATGCATGTTCGACGAAAAAAGGAAGCCTGGCGCGGCAGCATGCGGGTGGCTCGTCCTTTTTTGGAGTTGGTACCTTTCCGGGGTTGCTTTGAATTGAAGGAGATCCCCGTTTCAAAGCCAAATGAAGGAGATCCCCGTTTCAAGAGAAGCCCATGTCAGTGCTGTCGGCCAGGTGGACAGCATAGACACTGGATGCGATAGACAGGGTTCCCCACATTTCCCCTGGTGGAATTTTCAACACCTTTCGGATGCCAACTTCAAGCGAGCTTCCTTCAATTGCAGTGATGTGTTGTCAGCGGAGATGCAGGGCACACCTGATCCAAGCGCGAGTTGCATGGAGGTTCCAATGATCAAAGCGGGAAATGGAAGGGCCGTTTCCGTCTACCGCAAACCAACGCACTTGATTCCTTGCAGAGCTCCAAAGCCACTTGACCCGTCAATGCATATAAGTATCACTTGTTGGCGCGATGACGTTGGTCACACGAAACGCCCTTAGGAAAGAGGCAATGCCTTGGTTGAGCGGTGGGTAGAACCCCAAAAGCGCTAACTCTTACGTGGTTCTTGGACCCTATGGAACCCAAAAAGCAGGGTCCCTAAAAAGGGGATTCCTAGGTGAGTTTCTCGGCATGTTAAACTGGACGAGTAACAACCACAGAACACATACCCTGAACAAAAGGCACCCCCCCCCCATATTGCCTGTGGCTCACGTATGGCAACACCACCGAGCAAGTAGCATATATGAGCGGCGCCCAAAATCGAAATCCAAAGATAGCCAATTTAGTAGAGGGTTCTGCTGCCTGCCAGTGGTTATGTGCGTCAACAACCATCTTAGCAAACCCAACAGTCATTGACAGTGACGCATATCGTTCTTACAAGAAGGTGCCTGAAATTGGTTTGAGCCTGTAACGTTCCATATTTTCAACCGATTTCGAGCGGATCAAGGCTGCATGTGGGAGCTTCTCAAACTGGACGCTTTTTGGTTGATGCTTGAAGGGATGCCGGACAGAAACCAGCATTTTAAGGGACTGACCAATAAATTTTGAGAGAACACCCGAGACAAAACATGAACCAACCACTGAGGAATCATCAGAAGCCCGGGTTTCTTAGGTGGTGCGAAATGGATTTCGCAACCCTCGACCGTATTTCCAGCGACCCACCACCCACCGCCGCTGGACAGATTTTTCGGCTCAGCGGCTGGGCTGATTGCGCCATGGCGGAGCTGGCGGAGGCGACAGAGCCGCAGGCGACAGAGGCCGAGGCGCAAGGGGAAGCTTCGGACAGGCGGAAGGCCACGTTTTTAAGGCCAAGAACATAGCCATGGCTTGAGCCATGGTTTGGCCATGGCTAAATACTTGCGGTTGAGCCAATATGGGCATGGGTGAAGGTTTGTTAACCGCCAGGGGACTGCAGGTTATTGTCCCTGGTTCTATTTACCTGGCTCCATTTTGGGGTTACCCTATTTTTGGCAACCACCCCCGTGTGGCACCGGGGCATCATCACCGTTTCGGTTTCTGAGCGGGTGATGTTTGGGCATCCTTCAGCGGGCGCTACCAACCCTTGCCGGGGGGGGGAGGTTCACCAATGTGAGTGTGTTTTTGTGTGTCTACTTTCAGGCGAAGCTTAGTTGGTTTGGATTGGTTGGGGATTTGAACGGTTCCCTTCCCCCCGCACCTCACCGGGCTCCAAACCACTCCCCAGTTGCCCAGTGGTGTTTCCTTTTTCCTTCTTTTGGGAGGGGCTCCCCTTTAACGTCCACCAGCCCAAAAAGGGCGCCGAGTCTTTTTCTCCCGCGGCTGGGCCTCTGAGCTTCGGAGCTTCGGACGCGCGCGGCGATGTCCGGCACGGGCCAGGCCTGTGTAGCGCCCGGGGCCACGGACGTAGCGAAGCGGAGGGCGAAGCGAGTCACGTCGTCAGAGCCCGGGCGATTGGAGGGGTAAGGAACAATCCCCTTGCCAGAAATGGGCGCGGATCTCCGCCTTGTCGATTCTTTTTAATGGTTTTTGAATGTGTACTTTTTCCCCCCGGTCTTGTTTCTTCTTCTTCTTCTTTTTCTTCTCATATTTTGTTAAATAACAGGTTTTGATTGTGACTCAACTGTTTTTCCCCCAGACTCTGACCCTCAATTGGTTTGGATTGGTGCTCTGTTTTTGGGTTTGAACCCCTGGTTCTCCGTGGTGGTTCTGTTTTCTGGGGACCCCCCCACCCCCAAAAATTATATCGTGGTTTTCCTTTTGGTTTTGCTTTAAAACCCCACAAACAAGGGGTACCAACCAAAACAAATGACATACCCAAACGGGTGTTGCTTCTCCGGGGAAGTCAAGAGAAGCCCCCAAAGCTTTGGGGGGTAAGCAATATGAGACAAATCTATGATGAAGATCAACATCCACGCGAATCGATCCGCACCAGTTGGGATTGGCGGTTTATCAACAATTCGTTCACAGGCTTTTATCCATCCCAACTGGTGCGAAGTGGACTTGCGCATCCATGGAAATGACTGGGTCATGCGAGTGGTTGAGCCTCAAGAAAGACCTGCCTGGAGTTTTTCGACCTCCGATGGATCCTTCACAAGTCTTCCTTCCCTTCCGATGGGCCTTGCCAAATTGCCAAGTTGCCTGGCGGCAAGACCTTTGAACCATTACCCGCGCTATGCCCAACAACCTGGGGCTCCAATGGATCCAGCCACTAGGGCTCGTTCTCTCGCCGCCCTTCGCCTTTCGCCGAGGCACGATGCTTTTATGTTTCCCTCCGCCTTGAAGCCCACGGACTTGCAGCTGGAGGCCCGAGAACTGGGAGCGATGGGAATGCCCGGGGCGCGGACGGTGCCGTGTGTTTTTTGTTTTTGTGTGGTTTGTGGGGTTTGTGGGTTTGGGTCAAAATCCCGGGGTCGCCAAACTGGTGGACTTCCTGTTGACTTCCCTTGAGCTGCCCCTTTGAAAGCCAACCAAAAGGGGGAGGTCCGCGTGAGTGGATTTCTTCTTCTTCTTCCTTTGTTCTTCTTTAATTCTCTCTTGAAAGAGTTAGATTCAAGGGGGCATCGTTTGGATTCCAATGGTTTTTCCCCCCATTCGGAGACCAATTGTTATGTGTTGTGTTTCCTCTTACAAGCTTTTGCCAACTGGTCCGAGGGGGACACATGAGAATACCGTGTTGACGGTACCTGGACCCTCGATACCCTCCAAAGCTGGATGCCCAAATGAGCCACAATCAAAACCCGGGTAGATGAAGGATAGCAAGGGACAATCCCCTTGCCATAAAAAACTGCGGACATCCGCCTTCTTAATTCTTGAATCATGGTTCTAGTATTACGACCATTTTAATACCGGGTTTTGATTGCGACTCGAATACCTGGGTCCTTTGCCTCAAACTTGAGCGAGCCAGGATGAATCGAGCGAAGAGGACGAGGACACGGATGGCCCGAACGATCAGGCCGCGCCGCACAGCCAACCCTCAAGATCACATGCATTCTTTGGGTGAACTTTTTTTGAGGGTCAGCCTTTTGGAGTGGATCTAAAGGGAAGCCGAAAGGAAGCCAACCATTTTTGGGGGGTCCGCTATTTTAGGATACAACCTTTGACACCCTTTGACTTGGGGGCTTGCCAGGGATGGTCATGGACCTTGTGGATTCTTTCGGCCACCATGCGGCGTTTTTTTTTTTTCTTTCTTCTTCTATAGAGGGCACCATGCGGCCAACATGATCTTGACCACACATGAGTCTAACAAGTGGGCATTGGATGCGAAACATTCGGAGTCCGCACAGATTGGGGTTCTGTGTCCAGTGATGCTGTGGATGGTTTCGTTTCCCAAACCCCACGCCAGGCATCCGCAACTCATTTTAGCCTATGACCTGGTTTAAGCAGGGCCATAGTAAGGCCTTTTTAAACCTTTTTCACCATATTTGTAACACCAACAAGTGAAACATATGTTGGGCACTGCTCACTTGGCGTTCCTAACAACAGCGCCAGGGCGTCATGTCGTCCATCTACAGCTCCAAGGCAGGCAATGCCACGCGAGCGGCGATGCAAGGAGGAAGGCACTCGAGCGCCCAAACTCTTGTAGTTTAGGCGGTCACAAGTTCGCGGTTTGTATGGGTTTAGGAGTAAGGCCTGTAACCGACATGCTGACAAGTCAAGTGAAGCGGATGCAGAGTTCAGGCTCCTTGTGAGCCTTCCTGTCAGATGTTCTCTGATCCTGAAGAGTACGAGAAATGGAAGAACAGAGGCTGGAGAGCGCCAATCTCAGCGGTGAGACCTGTGCCAGCCAAACATCTGGCGCTGCAGAGGTCTTGCTTTCCACTTCTCAGCTACATGTGGGGATGACAGGGGGGGACTTCTTTTTTCCCCAAAAAAGGCGGAGCCAAAAGGGGGGCCACTCAATTTTAAGTGAGTTTGTCCGTTGCTCATTCGATCAGGGTGTAAGTGTCCCTTGCTAGCTGTTGGGGGTCACTCGTCTGGTTTCTTTTGGGTTGACAAGCAGTTGGTTGCCCCTCCCAGGCAACCAAACAGCCCCTCCCAGGCAACCCCCAGAGCCAGTTGCATGCAAGCTTTCTCCTTGGGTTTGACCCTGCCCTTTGAACTGCTCTTCACGCCAATCCCCTGAAAATGAATCCATTTTTTCAGGGCTTGAGAGCCCTTCAAAAAAAGACGCCTTTGACGGCTCCGAGGCAGTGCAATGCTGCGGCGGTGCCTTGCTGGTGCTTGCCGGGGCCTATGGCCAGCGCATCCGCTTCGTCAACTTCGGTTCGGGCGCCAGCCAAACGCTGTTGACCAAATCCGGGACGAAGCGCAGCACTGCACTAGTGTCAACCAGCAAGACAAGAAGAACACCCCACCAAACCGGCATGAAGCAAGTTCCCGTATCGCCAGCCGCAAGACCAAGAGAGCCTCCACGACACTAAAAATGCCTCCACGACCAAGAGAGCCCAGCGCGGTGCGGGAGTAAAACGCAGTCCAGGAGACAGCCCAGCCCCAGTGACAATTGAACTCCTCTTAGAATAAATAAGATAAATTATGTGGTCCGTAGACTGGTCGCCCCCGCTAGCATCACCACGGGGCCAGTAGATACCAGCGATACTCGAGAACACCATCAGGCACTGTCCCAAAGCCCAAAGTTGCCGATTCTGCTGGAGCGAACTCTGCGAGGATAAAGCATCATGAACAAAGACAGTGATGTAAGATGTATCAATCACAATCGCATATTCACAATGCACAACAATCACGACCCAAACCGTAGACTATGCAAAAACTGAGAGTACGAGGTTGATTTAGTGGTCACTTGCAGTCACTGCGCGCATGAGTGCGATGAAAGAGTCAAAGGTCCAGCAATAAAGTGACACGAACAACAATAACTTGACACGAACATCTACACTTGCTCATTGCAAGCCCTGCAATGTCGGGCTTGTACACTTCTGGGAGCAGAAAACACGAGTTTAAAGGACCCTTAATTTTAAATGGGGATGTGCCGAAATAGGGATTTTGTATCCCCTACAAAGGTGGGATTCCTTTTTTGTGTCGCTTTCAAACAAGCCTAAACGGGGGAATGTTTGAAAACACTACCCATCCCCATCCCCCAGTTGATTTCAGGCGTTCGTGAAAAGATCCTCTATTGAGGCCTTGATCTTTGACGAGATGGACTGAGCCGCTGAGTTTTCAGTCCGATCAGACTCCTGTCTGTCGCTTGGAGAATGGGCCGGGTGTCTGGGCAGGGTGCCGGGGAAGTTGGTCAGTCCCTATATTTCCGTTATCTTTTTAACTACCTTTTTAGCCCATAGGTGATGCTCCTCAGGGGGGATGTTTTCAGGCTGGAACCCGCCCGGAGTCTGCCGCTAACGCCTCTCTTTCCGGAGTTCCCCCACTGCACTGGGCCAAGAGTGGCGTGCTTTGGGAGGAAGGGACAACTCGCCCGAGCTTGCCACTCGCGTTGGGCATCATTTCAGTTGGGTGTGTTCCGTTGGTTAGGGGCACCCCAGGCGAGCTTCGCGAGGTGCCAGTGTCCCTGGCACCCTCCGTGGGTCCAATACGCTTCTTTGCTGCCTTTCGGGGAAGGAGCCAAAGGCCGCCGTGCGGACGAAGAGTTCGGGGCGGCGGAAAAGGCGGCAGACTTGCGTGTCTCCAATGTTCAGGTTCCGGACCATAGGTGTCCTTTTTGGTTGTTTTGCTAGAACAATAGATGGCCCTGGTTTACCTGGTGGAGTAATCATCTATCAGGGCCATCTATTTCCCCTAAAAGGACACCTAGGTTCCGGATCCTACCAATCAGGCCGTCGCCAAGAGGTGGACGCAATCCGGGTGACTCAAGGGCCCTGCACATGCATGAGCCGAAACAGCATTCCGCGGCGTGGAATTCACGAGGTGATTTTGAGTTTGGAGTCGTCTGAAGTTAACATTACAAGGTTCCACGTGGCGCGTTGGCTCAGATGAAGCTGGAAGCCAAGATGAAGCTTGAGGCAGCGCAAGAACGAGCCAAGAGGGATGGATGATCTCGTATGTCGCTGGGTCCATATCTTCCGCCAACAAGCAAGCGTCAGCTTCTAATGCCCTCCCCAAAAATGGTTGGTGAGTACACAATTCCAGCGCAGCTGAGGTCCAAGAGTCCGTTTCTGAAAAAAAACAGCACGAAGTACCCATCTGGCGTCGGAGGATCTCATTTTTAGTCGCTTCTCATGTGAAATACCCAGCGCCCATGCAGCAATGGCCAGCGCTCAGGCGGGATAAGCAATGGTCTGGTCGTTGTTGCACAGGGCTTTTCCAAGTTGTTTCTTCGCTTGCCCCTGTCTCTGGAGAAAAGTAAGCGCGCATAGCTGCCACACTTTACCTTCCGTCGAATTGGTGCTTTTGATTGGTGGTTTGGTTGTTTCTTCGCTCTCGTTTTGTCCTTCTCTCTTCCTTTTTCGTTGTGGCCTTTTGTGTCACCGCCATCCTCACCCATTGCTCCAGCTGAGCCCTAAACGAGATCGCTTGGACTGCTGGCCTGCAGTGATGGCGCCCTTCTTTGGGAAACACGAAAGCAGTTGTGGATGAAACTGATGAATCCCTATACACATTGGTTGAAGAAGGATGGCAACCATTGAACACCCCCGCCCCCAAAAAAAACAGAAAAGAAAAAAAACACAGAAAAAACAAAAGAAACACTATTCTGGTTAAGTTTATCAAGGCATTGCAGTGGTACTGTGGATGGACGAAATCCAGCACAAGATTGAAACCATGGGAAACCCTTGTTGGTGTTTACGTTGGGGCATCGACTCATTCCGTTGGGTATTTTATGTGGTGCGAACTGGATTTCGCAACCATCCACAGTACGACGCCGTTGAACCCAACCCAAGACTTGGTCCAAGCCCTGGCCATCCCTCCGTCCCTCCGTCCCTCCGTTGAGGGGCTGACACGGAGGCGACCGCCCGGGGCCTCTGCCCGTGGTGCCGCAACTCGCTGCTGCCGGGGTGCTGCGCGCAGTGCCTGCAGCGGGTCCGGGGCGCCCAGAAAAGTCCGCGCTGGGCGGCTTGGGCTGGGAAGGGGGGGGGCTCAGAAATTGACTCAACAAACGCTGGGGGAGGCTTTTTCCAGGATGAGCCGGGTTTCCTTTTGGTGTTTATGAAGGCCAAGCTCAACAAATACACAAGGGGGGACCAACTCTCAAATATAGCACACACACAGAAGTATTGCAAGGGGAACAAGGGAACCCTGTAGTTTACCATATTTTGCCAGGGTTCGTGGTTCTTTCACTTGGCATACTTGGGGCATCCACCGGATGGCTGAGAACATCCTCAAAACATGGGTAGTACCCAAATGGGCTTCATGGGTTGCTTCTCCTTTCAAACACGGAGCCTTCTTTCCAAGAGAGGTGAGCATAAGTTTGTGTGATTGATCCCTTGGTGGATATCATTTACATGTACCGTTTTGGGGCAAGTGGGGGTACCCTCCTGTCCACTAATGTAGAACCCACCAGCGGATCCCTTTAAACGCCAACTAGTCTTCCAGGACCCCCTCAGTCAGGTTCCATTTTAGCGGACAGGAGGGTAGTCGTGAATTCCCCACACAAATCAGGGGAACAGACTCAGTCTTTCTTTTGTCTTTTTTGGTAAGTGGAAATCAATGCATATTTCCGCCTAGACTCTCCATGATTGAAACATGGCAATCGACCCATCATTCTAGCGTTGCTGACCGCATACGTCAGGAGGACAATTGCTGGTTTCCGCAAAGCTGTGTGGATCACCCACGGATCGAATTTCCAACTCTGTTTTTGTGGCAGGAGTAGGATGGTCAATCACCACTTGCTTTTCAAATTAAAATACTTTAAAGTCAAATCGACCACCACTGACCCAGAAACAACTCGCAGGATTCTAGACGGAAAGGGGCCGTGTTCTCTGAGAAGGCCCAAGAGGCGCAACTTTTGTCCTGGCAGTGTATTTGGTACGGTATTAAGATAGGGGAACCCCCACAATTGGTGGTTTCCCCATGGTTGTCGTTGGGAAACATTTTACATTTTGTTTGTTGTGGTTCAGTGGGGAATCCCCACTTAACTGCTAAAATTTAGATTTTTGCTCCCCAGCCAACGTCAAGTCCCTTTAGTTGTTGAGACAGGTTCTTCAAATCGGGACCCTCAAAAGATGCTTATGCAGGTCTCACGAGCCGAGCTTTTCAGGTGGCGCGCCGCTACAGGCGCCAGACGCCGCAACTGGAGTGCGGGCCTTGGAGGGTTTGAGCACGGAAAAGGAAACCCTACAAATCGTCCCAACGAGGAGATGGCAATTTCGGTTTGATTCAAAAAGATGCAACCCTACAACAGGTTTTGAGCACGGACGTAGGCATTTTCGGTTTGCATCTGGTTTAGCAAGAGAAACGCAGGTCCAAACGAGGACATGGCGATTTTGGTTTGCAGTTGGTTTACAAAGAAAATGCAAGCCCAAAGATAATCCAAGCGAGGAGGTGGCAATCTCGGCTTGCTTTGGTCTGCCCAGCAAAAATGCAACCCCCAAATGGCCCCAACCGGGGGACAGCAATTTTGTGTACATTTGATTTACCACGAAAAAGGAAACCCTAAACATGGTCCAAACCAGGACATAGCAATTTTGGTTTGCTTCAAACAGATGCAACCCTAAAACAGGTTTCAGGACGTAGGAATTTTCGATTTCCATCCGGTTTACCAAGAGAAACGCAGGTCCAAAAGAGGACATAGCAATTTTGGTTTGCATTTGGTTTACAAAGACAATGCAACCCTACATATGGTCGAAAATTATGGTTTGCATTTGGTTTGCCAAGAACAATGCAACTTTTAACATGGTCCAAACAAGGACATAGCAATTTCCAAGGATCCCTCAAAAATATCCTTTTCTTTCAAAAGGGTCCTGTTCAAGATTTGGGGAAGTCTCCAACCGCTCAACTTGTTTCTGGACCAGCCTTGCAAAGCCTTAGGAACCCAGTTTGAGGTTGTGTCAAAGGGAATACCGAGTTTTGCGAGGGTGTCTCAAAATCAAGGTTTTCCTGCAATCGGTTTCAACTAGTTCCCGATTTTGAGACAGACTGGACACAGAGAAAAGCCACCACTTTGGGAGGGTGCTCCTTTCTTTGTTGGTTTTAAAGGAACCCAACAAGAACAAAACGCCTGTTTTGGGCCCTGAAAAAAGAAGAAGAAGACATACCCATTTCAAGCCCCGGTTCCTCTCTTCCGAGCTCCAACCTGGGGGGGGGGCTCTCAGTTGTTGTGTTGTTTTTGGGGGGAAGGGTCCCTGAAAAACCAAGACATGCCCATTTCATGCTGCTTGTTGTTAGGAGACATTTTACATTTTTTTGCTTCTTGCGGTTCAGTGGTTGAAGTCCAAATCCGCTGAACTGCTAATTGTTTTTTGAACACTGTTGCTCCCCAAACCCAACGTCAACCAAGATATTTCGCGCCCAAGCTCGCAGGTCTCAGCTCCCGCGCCGAAGCAACCGCCACGGCCAGCTGCGCCGCTCGCTTGGCTTTGTTAGGCAGTGGTTCAACCTCGTCCTTTTAAGGAAGCAACCCCCTTTTTGGCCACTGGAATAAACCTTTCCTCTTTTTTTATATAAAGGTATCTTTTGGTAAAGACTCTCTTTTTTTTGTATGTCTTGGTAAGGACTCTCTTTCTTGGAGGGCGTTCCTTGGTGCCTGTTTCGGTAACTCCTCGTCTACGTTTCTCCCAACGAAGGCGTCCCTGGCGCCTGGCGCCCCGAGGCGAGCGGCTGCGGCGCCTGCGCGCGCAGCTGGCGCAGCGGCAGCGCGGCACCGCGCGGCTCCGGGCGCAGCTGGAGGACGTCCGCGTTGAGCGAAGGCGTTGGGCGAGTTCCTCGTTGCATGCTCGGGACGGCTGGGAGCGGGATTTATGTTGGGAATCATGTAATTATGTTCCAGGTCTGGAAAAAAAACCTCAAGGATTAGGATGCTCAGACTCATTTTTTCTGGTTGGTTTCAAAGGGAACTCCCATTTGTTGGAACCACTTTAGTCTCACCCAAGCCAATTGAGTGCTCAGGATTGGTGGGAGGGGGATGCGGCGTCCGGAAAAAACAACTCGAGGATTTCTGAAGCCCGTTTGGTTTCCTCCATTTGACACAGTAAGTTACAAATGCTGGTCGGTGTAGATTGCGAGGGGATTTATGTTGGGGGGATGTATGTTCCGGGTGGTCTGGAGAACAAACTCAAGGATTTCTGGAGCCCGTTTGGTGTTTTCCTCATTTGAAATGGTAAATTTCGAATCATGATGGTCTATTTAGATGTGATGAGGGGGATTTATGTTGGGATGGTTCCAGGTATTGTTCATACAAACCAAAGGAATTTCTTCAGAATTGGAACAAGTATGAGCTGGAGGTTTCTGCCATGGTCTCTCAGTATGAGCTGGGAGGTTTTCGTTGGAGGTTTTCCCAAAACTCAGTTGATCTGTTTCGCAAAATCGACCGGATCTGACCTTTTGGCGTCCCCATTTGGGGTTCTCATTTTCAGTGGCACCAAAAGGTGATCACCTTTTGGCTTTGGGTTCTTACGGGGCAACTGAGTGTGAGCTTGCTGGTTTCTAGCGGCGACAGCTCTGGTTCTCTGGAGGGCTTCATATTTTCTCATGTGCTTAGGCGGCTTATTAATTAGTACCCACAGGATGGGTGTATGTTTTTTGAGGCTCGGCACGCAGCCCAACAAGGACATATGGGCTTGTCTGGGAGGTTTCCCCTGTTCCCTCGTTTGAATCCCCAAACCAAGCAACCAACTAGGGGTTGCTTGAGGAGTTGTTTAAACCACCCAGAAAAAAGTGGGACATGTTCTTGTCGGAAGTTTGGCCGGACCCCCCCCCCCCTGTCCTCCCAAAATCACGAATCAACTACCGATACTGTGGATGGCCAAAGAATGCTTCGCACCAGTTGGGTTGGATGAAGCCCTATGAGCATTTGTGTTGATAAACCACCTCCCAACCTGTCAATAACTTTGTAAGCTATTCAGATTGGTTTGTGTGTGTGTGTGCCTTGAAAGAAACCTCCCGTTGGCTTTCCATTCCTCATGGACTTTCTCAAAAGTGTGGGGCCCCTTTTGGTACAAGGCTCTGTTCACATCCTGCTTGGGCCAGGTTTGATCGATTTGTGGCAAGGTGAAGTGGAAAAACCAGGGCATTCATGGGAGGCACTGGCACCGGTGCCTATTTTGGGGCTTGAAAAAACGATCCCAATGGAAGAAAGCCCATTTGGGGGCTCCCTTGGGTGCGGGGCAAAATGAAATCACCAGGGGACCGCAGGTTGAGTGCATGTTCCCACTTGCCAGGGCAGCCCATTTTGGGGTTACCCCATTTGTGACCCACAGCCATGTACTTAGGGGCAATCTGGCAAACAGAAAAGCTCTGACCATGCTTATGAGTCTCCGATCAGTGGCTTACAACCAGGCTCACTAGCCACTTACGTGTGGTACCCGATCGCCCCTGTAGGTAGAGATACGCCCTGTGGTACTGTGGAAAGACGAAATCCGGCACCACCTAAGCCCTGATTCGATCCCCTTGAAAATACCAATTGCAAGCAATGTTCTGGTTTCAACTGGTGACTCACTTCGTGCGGCACAACTCGGAGTTCGGGAGAAGCCTCCGTCCGGCATCTCGCCTCGGGCTTCGCCTCGCGGTCGCCTCGCCTCGTGGCCCTCGGGGGCTTCAGGAGTCCCGCGAGCGGCTCCGGCAGCGGCGCAAGGCCCACGAAGAGCGCCTCGCGGACCGACCAATCGGCACGCCGAAGCGACGAGCCGACGCTTTGGATGTTTCGGACGGTTTTCTTTTTCTCGCGGACGCGACCAAAAGCACCGGGAATTCAGGTGGAACCTCAAAAAGGGCAACCAACAAGGGTTGTCCTCCAAGTGATGTTTTTTTTTTTTTTTTTTTTTTTTTTTTTTTTTTTTTTTTTTTTTTTTTTTTTTATGGGAGTTTTTTTGGGCTCCGTGGTGTTGTGGAGTGTGCTGGGTGGGACAAAGCGATCTTAGAGCTCCAAGGTTGCATACTGAGAATGTACATGAAGCAGCACTTTTGGCTTTGGTGAGCACCAACTTGGCCATGTGATGTTCGCTCAGAATTTCAGCCGTCTATTCTCTTTTCGGGGGGCAACCGTTTTTGACCCTTATGTTTCCTCTGGTTTTCCAGTGATGGGGCAATTGAGCCACTACTATTCCCCAAGTCTTCAGAAACTGAAGGAGTCTGACCATGGCTCATGTGACTGCAGGACTTGGCGTCTGCACAGAGGCGCTTGGGCGCCAGGGCTTGCGTGCCCCGCGCGCAGCCTGGCGCCCAGTGGAAAAAGCCCTGGCCCGCAGGTAGAGGTTCAACTTTGGAGCTGGTGCCCTTGTTTGAAGGGGAAAGCTGAAATAAGACCGCCCAATTTGGGGGCTCCCCCTTGAACTCCCTCGGCAGAATCTTCGATTTTGAAAAAACGCAGTCTTGAGCTGAAACACATTCAGTTGAATGTGCTAGAGGGTCAAAATTAGGGCCCCTTTTTGGTACTCCCTCTATAAAAGGCGGCTGACACCCAAACTGTCCAGAAAGGTTCCATAATGGGTATGATTTTGAATGGGTGCAAAAGGACCCTTTGGTGGATACCATTTAGGCGGGGATTCATATCCGCCAACCACTTTTGCAGCAATCAATCATAGCCACCCATGTGAACACAACCAGCTAGGTTCCTGCAAGACCCGACGCGGCACCAGCTGGGGGCATTTCATATCTACCAGGAGACCGCGTGTTGCTGCGAACGTCCCTTGCTACCAGACCCGCAACCGGTTGGTGTTTGGTGTTTCTTCAGGCAGGGAACCCCCGTGTTTGGGGCTGCCCATGAGGGGCAAGCCACCTGGAATCACAAAACAGGGGTCTGCGGTTCCCTTGTTGAGGTGGATCCCCAAAATATTGCAATTCAACCACAAATCATGGATTCATCGCAGGGTTTGCCTTGTTCCATTGCGAGATTTAGGGGCGCTACCGTATCTCTGGGGGGGGGAAGGGTGTTGTGGCTTACCGCCCAGGATAGATAACCCTCCGAATTGGGTGCAAGCCATTTTAGAGGGGATCCGGATGGCTGTACTCTGTGATGTTGAGTAATCCGAGGTCAACATTCGTCTCTGATCCCTTTGTAGTACCCCGCAAATTACAAGAAGAAGCGCAAAAACGGGTCCCTCAAAAGAAAGCCGCCCGGGTGTGCAGACATGTCTACTTCCTCGGGGCAGGGTTGCTTCTCTTCGTTGGGGGCCAGATGGACCAAGATCCGACATGTCATGCAGTTTGGCGTCTCTCTGGGTCGACATGTGAGTCACAATCAAAACCCGGTATGAAAATGGTCGTAATCCCAGAACCATGCTTCAAGAACTAAGAAGGCGGATATCCGCAGCTATTTCTGGCTGGGACTGGCCCTGACTCACCTTCATCTACTCGGGCTTTGAGCAAGTCGCTCATGTGCCAAGTTCTGCCCCGCGTCTTTTCAGGAGCTGTCGGTGGTCCTCACCGCCCTGCAGCAGGAGCGCAGGAGGAGGCGCCCCGAACACGGGCGAGGTGCTTCCAGCTCGCCGAGAGGGATGGCTTAAAAGGCAATGTCGCGGCCGGCCGCATAAATTTCCTGTAAAACAACCACGCTGACTTTGGTTTCACTACTGAGCAAGCCACAAAAGAGAAGAACAGACTCCAAGAAATCTTGGTATGTTTGCAAGTAGGGATTTGGACCCCAAAGAGGGTGGTTTTCCTTTTGGCTCTTGAAACTAAGGTTGAAGCTCCAACAATGGTCCAACAACCAACCCTCCCCCCCCCCCACAACCTCCATTTGTGGAGACCCATTTTTGGGATTGATCCCATGTTCATCAGCGGCACCAACTCCCAAAAACACAAAACCGGATGGCTCCCAAAATGGCGGCTGCAACCGGATTGCCCTTGCACCTTGAAACCAACCTTGAAAAGGGTACCACTCTACTGGGGTAGCCTTAGGATACATTTTACATTTTACCAGTGACTGAAAGTGAAGCAATCAAATATACATTCTATGACTGGGCCGAATCATGTCTAAAACATGCAGATTCATGTCTCGATTGCCAGCCACCGGTTCGGAGAGGTGCAGTGAACTGGTGGAGTTGCTGCCAGTGAAGTGGGGCATCCTGGAAGTCGGGGGGGGGGTGGTGGGTGGGAGGGGGGGGGGGTGGGATGTGAATCGGGTCTCAAAGCGGGTTTGCTTGTTTTGTTTGAGCGTACCCTTTTCCCCAGTTGGTTTACAGGGAAACCCAAAGGAAGCTGAGCGTGTTGGGAGGTCCTAAGCCTTACTTTGATACTCATTTTGGGCCATTGTCAATTTGATAAGGCCATGGGGGACTTTCGAGGTGCCCGTTTTTTGAGGGTGCGCTTCTTGGGTCGCGCGTTGGAGGAAAACCAAAGGCAACCCACTCCCGGACGTCCACAGTTTGGATCATTGGTTTGCGGTGTCATAATTTCTTCGCCGACCCCATTCGCTCACTTGAGGGTTGTTCAAGCATGCTTAAATCGCTACTGTTAAAACAGACTTGTTTGGAATTGACATTTAGCGGAGCGAATCAAGTCGGTTTCTTTAAACATTTTGGCTCTGCAAATTTCACCGAGCCCAGCTACCAACTTGGCCATCGCATGTTGCAAGCCCCCGGCAAGCGGGTTATCGGGACCCGCTTTCCTGACGTATCTCCCAGGTTTGGGCTTGGGAAGACGAACGCGCCCCGCTTTTGACGAGACCCTTTTTTGGCTGTAGAGGAAGACAAGGGGAAGCCGCTCATTTTTTGTGGATTGGTTCCCAATTTCAAGAGCCTTTCAAGGGGGGGGGGTCCATTTCCGTTTGACTCAAACAGTGTTCAAAAGGTGCTGCCGTTCGGTGATTTGTGGTCTCTTTCGGATGCATGAGAACGTCCCGTGGCCTTCTAGAACCAATTTTTGTTGGAACCCGTCTCTGTCTCTGAAGGGCTTATGCAAGGCAAACGCTATTTTGATTCGACGGCCAAAGGCCCCAATCGCGTTTTGGGGATTTTGAGTTCCCTTGGGCCCCCAAAAAAGCAAACTCCAACGCCCCCTCCCCCCCAACAAAAAACAACAACGAAACAAACAAACAAACAAAAACAAAGCAACCAAAAAGCAAAAACAAAACAACAAAAAGCAAAAACAAAACAACAAAAATCAAAAACAAAACAACACAAGGTAAAAACTAAACAACACAAAGCAAAAACAAAACAACAAAAGACAAAAACAAACAACAACAAGCAAAAAAACAAAACAACAAACAACAACACAAGACAACAAAAAAGCAACCACAAAGCAACAAAAAGCACACACAAAGCAACAAAACGGAAAAAAAAACGAAAAGCAAAAGCAACACAACAACACGCAAAAACAAAACAACACCACGCAACAACAAAACAACAAAAAGCAAAAACAAAACAACAACAAGCAACACAAATCAACAAAAAGCAAAAGCAAAACAAAAAGCAACACACACACACAACAACAAAAAAACAAAAGCAGAACAACAAAAACCAACAACACAGCAACAAAAAGCAACAACCAAACAACAAAAAACAAAAGCAACACAACACCAAGCAACAGCAAAAAAACAAAACACAAACTCAAAACAACAAACAACAAAGACAACACAAAAAAAAAACAAGAACAACACAAAAAAAGGAACAAAACAACAAACAGCAAACGCAATACAACAAGAAGCAACAACAAAACAACAACAAGCAACAACAAAACAACAAACAGCAAAAACAAACAATAAACAGCAAGCACAAAACAACAAAACACAATCACAACACAACAACAAGCAAAAACAAACAACAAAAAGCAAAAACAAAACAAGAAACACAAACTCCACCGCCCCACGAGCGAGTCGAGGTGGTTGCAGACTGGTGCTGGACCGGAGGCTCTGAGCCTGGGCGCTGCGCCCGGCTTTTTCTGTCGAAACGGGGCGCCGCGGGTGGCGGCAAAGGGTGGGGTTGTCCGCTGGGGTTAGATCAGGCCATGTGCCTTTGTTTTCAAAAGGACGTGGGTGAATGGCTGTGTGTTAAACTAGGGATTGGTTTACTGGGGTTCCACTGTTCCACTGGAGTTCCACAGGCCATTTGTTTGACCAGAAGGACGCCTGTGAATGGGTGTGTGCTAAACTAGGGACCCCACCTCGAAAAAAACAAGAAACACGGAGAGAAAGGGGCGTGGAATTCACGTTGGTTTCACTTGGAGTTTCACCTCGATGTTGGGTGCCCTGAAAAACACACCCAAATGCGCCGATGCGTTGAACAGCCCAGGTCAGGTGCAGTCACTCGAACGGTCTGGCGTTCTGCAGGACCGGGCTCGTGATAGGGTCCTTCCTCTCCAGGAGTGTTTCTCGGACATGGTGGACCCCTAAGACTAGTCAGTTTTTGTTTGGTTCCCTTCAAATTCATCCAGAACGGCGGTTTTGCCTATTTTGGAGAGAAACCCGCAGAGCAATGTGTGGCGGCGTTCGGTCAGCATATCCAGTAGTTTATGGGCAATGTTGGATGGACTTGGGCCCGATTCACTTTTCCACGTTTGTTAGTGGGATACAGGTGGCCATAGATTGCTTTTGGGAGACAACTCGGCACCCGCGGCAAAACAGGAAGAAAACTGGGCAAACTGGGCACCCAAAAAGGGTCCAAACAACTGGGTAGCCAAACAACTTGCAAACGGGAAACCAAACTTGTCACCACCAAAGACTACTGTATCCTCCGCAACTCCTCGAAAGCCGCTTGGCCTTTTTTTGGAACAGAATCTGACACGAAACTGGAAAAGCAACACCGCATTTTCCCCCGGCCACGCGCTCCAGAGTTGGTTCTCTCGGGCGACTTTTTCGCAGGAGGAGGAGCTCCGCAACCTCGACGCGTCCCTTTCGCTGCTGGCGGGTTTTGGGGGGAAGAGGGGGGGGGAGGCTCTCAGATTCTTTCAGGTAATGTGTGGTTTGGACTTGTTTGAGTATGGCTCAAAAAAACCGGAATCCCCAAAATGACTTGCCCTGGTAACTGGAAACATGGGTAACCCAAAACCTGCGGTTTGCCCCTAGCTCTTTAATTTTGAGCCACCGGCCATGGATTCGGAGGTCTGGCCACCTGGTGGCCATAGGGGACTGGTGGCCGGTGTTTTTCTTGGTTTTTGGTACTAGCCCCGGCTCGCTTAGACCGGCCAGGGGACTGGTTGGTTGGTTGCTTGGTACCTAAGCAGCCCTGGAAAGATTTTCGATTCCACGTAAATACCGAACGTTATGGTCTCAGCCATGCTTTCTTAGGTGCGACTTCTGGACTTCGATTTCAACCATCAGTATGATCATTTTGCCATCGATTTTTTTCTAAAAAGGACGGTTGGGTTGACACCGAGGGGGTGACTCATGACTTGTTTCTCGGATTCGGTTTCGACCTTGTGCAGGATTTCGTTCATCCGCAGTACCACTGCAATGCCTTCATTTCATGGGTGATAAACTCAACCCGAATTGGAACCATCGGTTCCTTGGGGTTTCAAGCATGGTGACTCCTTTCGCGCGGAATGTTCGGATTCCGGGGAGAACCGTCCGTCTTCTGAGACCCAAAATCCCCACTGGTCCCCTCGGCTCCCCAGATGCGCCTGGTGTCCGGGTTGGCGGCCTGCCTGGCGGGGCCTCTCAGGGGGTCCATCGAAGCGGGTGCGGCTCAAAATGAAACAGGAACAAGACACCGCAGGGTTTGGTCTATGTTTCCACTTGCCAGGGCAACCCATTTTGGGGATTCCGGGTTTTTTGGGCCACAGCCAAGCGGTTGGAGTTGGTTGGGTTTGCTCCGCGTCGCCATGGATCCACCAGTCCAGTTTAAGGGAGAGCCTGATCTTCCAGGACCCTGTGACCGTGTGGTGTAGTTTTTCAGGTGTTTGTGGGAGTGACTGTACACCACCATCTTGAGGAAAGCCTTGGGGATGTTGATTCGGTGGAGCTCAGTCTTTGAGTTTGAGAAAGCAGATGGTGCCAAACAATGAGAAGGAGCCAAGCCAGAGTTTTAATTCCATCCATTTTCCACCGCAAAGGACCTCTGGTTATGTGTGTTTTCAGTCGAACGGGGAAAGGCCTCACTAGCTGGTTGCATTTGGGAGTCCTTTTTTTGAAAGTATCCTTTCTTGGATTGGGCGAAAAGAACGCCAACCGAAAGCCGACCATTTTGTATGAATCTGCGTAAATTATCATGAGCTCACCGATTGGGGGGCAAACCGAGCTCCGGTGGAGGTCCCTTTCGAGATTCCTTGTTTCTCTCCGGAATTCACAGCACCATCAAAAAAACAACGGGGTCAATACAACCACATGCGGAGTTGTTTACCTGAGGAGTTTCATCATCTAAAATGTTTTTGCATCCATTTTGGGGGATAATTCGGTTAGCTCTTCAGAATGGGGAGGTGTGGCTTGGGGTCAACCAATTTCTTTTAACAGGGGTTGAACTGGGCCCTGGTTTGGGAGCTGTCATTGCCTGCCCTCTCGAAGGATGTGACTCTGCCGTTCCCTTGCAGCGGCGGCCGGGGTTTTCGGGAGGCAAGCTGCGAAGCGGGCCATGCGCGACAATTTGTGCCTGCAGTCTCCATGGATCCCTGAAACTTATTCTTTGGGTACCAAAATGGAGACTCCAGGTAGCAGACTCCAGGGTGCAGTCTCCATTGATCCCTTCAGAAATTGGTGAGTGGTCATTTCCCTCAAGCTTATTCTTCGGTTACTGCACATGGAGAATCCAGGTAGCTGCTGACTCCTGCTTGGTCCTTGGTCACCTCCCCTCAACCTTCCCATCCTTTTGAAGACCTTTGGCTCACAAGCAAAACTTGGCATAGCCAAAGCTACCAAAATGCAAAGAACGACTAGGACCACAGCTCTGGTTTGGTTGGGACAGTCCCTACTAATCCTACGGTGTTTGCTTCAGGCTGTCTCAGGCTCACTCTGCCGGATCTTGTGACTTCAGCACCTCCGGAAAGCGACTGCCTGGCGTCTCCATCACCCTCTCAAAGTAGAGCCAGTCCCTCGTCCCTCAAACAATGAAACATTGCTCCATGGGTCAGAAGGAGACTCCAAGTAGATACTATCCAACCAAGCACCGTAAGGGCACCAAAGGGAATCACACAAAAGCAAAGGGAACCAAAGGGGCACTTTTTGGGATGGCTTTCTTGAACTTGGCTGTTCAGAGATGGGAAGCGGTGAGCCACCCACTAATGGGAGAATTCTAAGCGGGTTACAACTTAGCTTCGGATCACAACGTACAAAACTTGGCGAAGGGAAGACGGTACCCCAGGTATCTTCCAGTGGGTTGATCAAAAGGTGCACGTGGAATGACCATGGAAAACCTCCAAAACGATGATACTTCCAACTAAATGGGAAACGTTACCCATGCTCATTGGGGGCCAAAGGGAATATTGATCGACCCCCGTTTGTTCCCCAGATAGCTGAAAGCTATAGGGGTTCTAACTTCTAAGAAAGAGGGGAAAGTGATTTGCAAAATTGATGAGCTGGTGCTAGGGGGCGGTTCTGTTTTGGGGTGCTGGCGACGGTACGGGAGCATGTTGGCGTAGGGGTGCTGTTCGGGGTGACGGTGCGGGCGTATTCTGCGAGACTGACGGCAGGGTGAAAGGGGGCATGCAGTTTGGGATGCCTGTTTGGGTTGCTGTTGGAGGTGCTAGTGACGGCGCGGTCGCATTATTGCGAGATTGACTGGGTGCTGTTTGGGGTGCTCTTCGGGGGGTGCAATCGTTGGAGGTGCTGGTGTGCAATCCTTGGCGTGTTTCGCTATCTGGCTGTGGGTCAAAACCAATGGTATCCCATTTTGGGGTAGGTGCACCACCCATTTTAGAACCTATTTTAGTGGTTGGATTGGGATGTTCACTGGGGGTACTGTTTGGATTTTGACCCATGGCCATATCAATCAATGGTTGGGGGCGGGGGTTAGGAAAAGAACCAAGCACCTACCTGGAGTCTCCTTCTGACCCTTAACAAATGGGTGGTCATCACCCTCTCTCCAACAAACATAGCACCTCACAGAGGGTCGCTTCAAGAGGAAATTGATCTTTCAGATACCCTCACGGTGCTATGTTAGTGGGAGGGAGGGTATCCAAAATAATGCTCCGGAGCTAAAACATGTTCTGAGAGCCGGACATGGACCCCACCCATAGACTCCCCGGCACTCGATCCTGTGTCGTTTTACTCAAAGACGGCGAAGGCCCACCCACTACTACAACTTCTGTACTTTATGGGTCAAAATTAAACCACCAGAGGACCGCAGGTTTGGTCCATGGTTCCACTTAGGGCAACCCATTTGGGGGTGACCCTCTTTTTGACCACCACAGCCATGTGTATTTTCTTCCTTCTACGTGGCTGGAGGGGAGCGGAAGGACCGAGCCGGGCGGGGAGCGAGCGCTCAACAGGTGGCCTCGGCCATCGAGGCGGCAATCGAGGCGGCCAGCTGAGAGAACCAACGAGCAAGCCGAGCCGAAGGGATAGACGTCTATCCTCCACCCCCCCAATTCGAGGTGGGGGGAGGGGGGGGGCTACGCTAAAGAAGGTTCTGGGCTTCTGGGAGGGTGTGGTGCTGTTGAGGATATGGGTTACATCCATTTGCCGCCTATTTGGATGTTCACCATACAGACCTGAGTGGTCTTGGGCCATTTTGGAAGACCGAGTTTGTGGCTCCCCACTTTTTGTGTGACTCATGGGGCTCGTTGGACTGGAAGCAACCTTGAGGAGCCGACAAGTTGGGTGAATGAGAAGCCGACTCACGGGGTGGAGGGGGCGGGGGCTTTTCATTGGAAGCGAGCCACCTTAAGCCTATGGCCCCCCAAGAGGACAGTTGAATTTATCCGGGTAGATCCGACCCTGCGTTGGGCCGTGCATGCTTTTTTTGAGGGCCCCCTTTCTGAGCTTACTTTTAAAGGGGATGTGATTCGGGCACGAGCCTGTGTCCAGGCGAAGGGTTAGTTGGGTTAAACAAGCCACAAAGAAAGGTACCCCAAAAGCAAACCAATCCCCGGTCCCAAAGATCAGGGTTTCCCACACACAAGAGAACAACAACCAAAAGGGAAATACCAAAACAAGAATGCAAATACACGCAGCCTTGATCGACGATGAACCGCACGGGCGATCCCCACCAATCTGCCCCGGGGCCGATGTCTCTTTCTCCACCGACACGGTGATCGACGCAGGGACCCGGCGACGCTCATCCGAGGCGCGACGGACCCGCAAACTTGAGCCAAACATCACCGGTCAGTCACTATCGCGACATTCTTGGCGATGTTCCAACACATGGCTAATCACACCCCCCCTCACGAGGAGCCCGTCATATGACGGGTGGAGCGTCCCATTTACTGATAGGATTTAACTGCTCGCATACGTCCGCAAACAGCTGGACACTACCCACATAGGCAGTTGCGCGACATCCCGGGCATTAAATTCCCGCCACCACCCCGAATTATTCGGGGTAACGCTGTCCAACAAACCCAGTCAAAGAGTCCACATGACGACAATTGGTCACAAAACTGTTTGCATCAGAAATGCAAGGAGTTCAATTCATATCAGAAGCCATGAAAAAGGTGATAACATTTGTCCATCAGTACCCTTGCCTATCGGCGAGAGGTACTCTTGACCATGCGAACTTGAAAACACATAAATTCCGCAAACCTGGGAGTATCCTCCACCAGTTTGCATCCTCTCTCACTCATACTACTTCTTGGTGACCATCACCAGCAGCCGAGCAGCGGTGCAGAAGAGACATGAACAACACGCCTCAGCGGCGCAGGAGGATCAGCAGCATCGCCCCACAGCGCCGACCATTGGAGTACGGGCGCAAGCCCAGCGGCCGCAGCCCTCGTGAATCGGCCTATCGGCTATCATCACGTCTCCTCCGGTCACGTCCG